GAGGAGGAGTCCATAGATCCAGCGAGGGTGAGGAATTATTGAAGATTTGGTGCTTGAACCTGTTATTACAGACATCCTCAATGAGTTGGCGTGGCCAGCTGTAGACCATTTCATTTGGTTGTGAGCTTTTCCCTTTGAAGACATGCTTACATCTTTGCGTACAAAGTAACAAGCAGATAGTATTGAAGGTTTTATGCCATGGCCATCTGCTAACATGTTTGTTCCCCAGGTTGTGAGTAATGTTCCACTTAATCCAAGCCTACAAATCAAAAGAGAAAAAAGCAAATATATGATTAGGATTAATAAGCGCCTTCCATACTAATTTTACTTGCTCACAATCTCGGAGAAGGTGTATCACACTTTCCTCACAATGGCACTCAAAAGGGCATTCATTAGTATTAGAGAAGCCTCTCTTGGCTCTAATTGAGTTGGTGGTTAATCTCTCATGGACAGTTTCCCAATTAAACAATTCAACTCCCTTATGAACTTGCCAATGCTTGATCTTACCTAACACAGGATCAACACTTCTACCTGTCCAACTAGTGATGAAAGTGTACGCAGATTTGACTGAGAACCTGCCATCAGATGCTGCTCTGCACCAAAGTAAGTCTTGTTGGGCATTACAAGGAGCTTTTATGACCTTGAGTGTTTGAATGGCATTAGGAGGTAAAAAGCGATGCCACTCCTGAAGATTCCATTCGCTTGAAGGGAGAGCAAATTGGCTGATGGCATCCTTTGGATTGATGAGCTCAAGATTTCTATCGACAAGAAGGAGGGTTTTATCCAAGGGGGTCTAGAGATCCCACCAAAACTTAGTGTTGTTCCCACAATTGATTTTTTTTACCAACCCCTAAGAGGAAAGAATCATAGATCTCAACAATTGCCTTCCAGACCATAATCATACTTGGCTTGCAGGCATTGTCCCCAAAGAGTATCTGGATTAGTTAGGATGGTCTCGCAAAGCTTCATGATGAAAGCCTTATTTTGGCATTCAAGATCCTTAATTCCCAAATCCCCCCTCTTTTTTGCTTCCAATGATATTCTTCTAGGATGCTAAATTCTAACTTGTGCAATAGAAGCTAGTATGTCATATGTATCGTGTAGCATTTATTTATTGGTTTGAGCATGTTGATCAATGGTAATCTTTCTGTCCATCTTCCTCTCTGTAGCTCTCTTTTTCTGATGTTCTGTCCTCCTTGTGCCTATACTTTGTTAATATTGTAGTTTGTCCAATGCAAATCATCATCTTGAACGTTAGTTTTTCAATGTCTCAGGACTGTAGCTAGTCCTGCATTTTGCATGCCTTATCATTTTGATTTTTGACTTCTAAAAAGTTTGGGGGTTTGATAATGCTCAAAATAATGACGGGAACGTTGTCATGTTCCCCACAGAACTGGCATACTAAGAATAAGGTGTTTCATGTGTAAAACTCAGCTTCAGACTGGTTGAAACAGTCATGGTCCTTCTATAACCTCATTTTGTGTTCTCTAGGAGACACTTTATTGACTTAAATGTCCCTTTTGGTTTGCTAGGAAGGTGGATATTATCATGATATTCCGACTACCTTGCACCGGAGTAAAGCTGACTGTCCAGTGCCAGAGGTTTATGATCTTGCTGTGTTCTTGATGACCTTTTGTTCTTTCAGTTGGTTAACTTCTCTAATATATGTTGCTTTATGTACTTTGCTTTTATTCTGTACAGGAAATGGTTACAGTAAATGTTGATGGATCAGTTCTAGATAGGATTGCTAAAATCATGTCATATCTTCGTCTTGGCTCTTCTGGGAAGGTTCTAAAGAAGAAAAAGAAGGAAAAAGATGTGAAAGGTAACTAACGCACTTGACAGATCATGTGGGAGTTTTGGATGTTATCATCTAGGTGCTTGATTTTGTTGAATATTTATATTTGCAAATGTTGTCAAATGAATTATAAAATAAATTACACCTTTCTTTTGTAAAGAATGTTGATCTCTGTATTTTTTTCATATTGCCTTGCTGGTATTTTTAAGTTATAATTGGTTTCTGCCTCTATCCTTTAAAAAAAACACAGGAAAGAGTTTGGCTGCTGGCAATGGATATGATGAAGAGGATAAGCCGTCAAAGAGTGAAGGTGGGGGGGCGAAGAATCAAACTGAAAGAGAATTTATCCCACCACCTCCTCCTCCTTTCAAAAAGAGTTCTCTTAATTCAAGAGAGAAACAAGGCCCAGCTGTTGCAAGAGCAGGAGAGGATGACATTTTTGTTGGGGATGGTGTTGACTACGATGTTCCTGGTAAAGACTTGAGCCAAAGCCCTCTTTCAGAGGACATGGAAGAGTCTCCTAGGAACAAGGAAAAACCTTCATATTTCACCGAGCCTAGTTATGGTCCTGTCCCACCTTCTGTTGTGCCACATGGATGGCAAGAAGCAGTAAGTTGGTCTTCCTGATGGTTTTTTTTTTTTTTTTTAATTGTTGGACTTCCTATTGGAATGTTACTTGAAAAATTTTGCCTTGTTACACACTGGGAATGGATCTGATGCACTTTTTCTTTGGTGTACATTTCCTTGTGCATCTCTTGTTATACCATGCACTTCTTTTCCCATTTTCTACATCTCATCATAAATAAAAAATGAGATGTGCAAAGAAATGCATAAAAAAGATGTACACCAACTCCATTCCTGTTACACATTCATTTCCTTCCTAAATTTTCAAGATGAACTCAGAACTAGTATAAAATTATTACTCTTCATGTAATAAATTTTGCTTCTTTGAATAATATCTTGATATGAGTTTCTCTACCCTCTTTGATCTGATTATGCAATCTCAGAATGGGTATGATGTAATGCAAGCACAAGCCTTGGCCAGTGGCTACCAAGGAGACTGGCAGGAGTACCAGTACGCAGAACAACTGGCTTACCCAGACCAATACCTTCAGCCAAATATGCAGGCTTTTGATTTGCAAGCGGGTTTAAATATTCCCCAAGATCCACGCTTTATGACTCAAGAAGAGAAGGATCGAGGTTTAGGATCAGTTTTCAAGCGAGATGATCAGAGACTTCAACAGTTGAGGGAGAAAGATGCTCGTGAAAAAGATCCCAACTTCATCTCTGAGAGTTATTCTGAATGTTATCCAGGATATCAAGAGTATAATCGTGAGATAGTTGACAGTGATGACGAAGATGACTTGTCCAAAATGGATATGGGAGGAAGGGTGAGTACTATCTTAACAGTATAATATGTTTTGTTTATGAGGACGCAGAATTTGCTTTTATGTGGATTTTGAGTGGGGTATAAATAAAAATGGTTAATGTGTATTGGATATTCTTTTCTCCTCAAGATATGCTTTATCACTGAGCCGTATGCTGATAGTCAAAAATTTGAAATTTCCATTTAATAGGCCAAGGGTCGTCTTCATCGATGGGACTTTGAAACAGAAGAGGAATGGGCTACTTACAATGAACAGAAGGAGGCAATGCCAAAGGCTGCATTCCAATTTGGTGTAAAGATGCAAGACGGTCGGAAGACACGGAAGCAAAACAAGGATCAGAAGCTCAACAACGAGCTGCATAAAATCAACAAGATACTTGCCAGAAAGAAGATGGAAAAGGAGGCGAATGGTGAGGCTGGCCACCATTTTGATGACGAGATCCAGCCTGGAAAGAAGCTCCGAATATGAGTATTAGTTTATAAACGCACTGTAATATTTATAGAATGAAATGGTCATTTCTGCCTGAAGATGATGAATCTATGATGCATTATCTAGATATCACATTCCTGTTTTGTTTCCTTCTCACTTTACACTATTTTCTTAGAAGTTACTATTTTGATGAACATAGCTATTGCTAGATGGTTATTGAACGCGATCTGTTAATTAATAATATTCCTAAAAACTTGATAAATGATAGAGTATAATGGCGTCTTACAATTCATGTAGCCAACCCTATCTAGTGGGATAAAGGCTTGTTGTTGTTGTATAGTTATTGTTAGATGACTTGGCACTCTTTTCCGCAAGTGCGCTGATGAGGCGTAACGAAATATACCATGGCTGGGGAATAAAAAAAATCTCAGACGAACGGGTAATAATGAAGGGGGTCAATGTTTGATAGGGTTAGGTTGTCCTTGTGCATTCAGTTCTTGTAATCTTCAATTAAAAATTTCGGACAGCATCCGGGAAGCTCGAGTTTAGTAAGTTTAACAGTGTTTAATGGAAGCTGATAAGTTATTAAAAATTATATGCACGGATATGTTAATTATTATTAAAAGATAAACTATTATTTGCATAGTCATTAACTCCATGAAAAGGGGGCTTGGCGTGTTTTATTTATTTTAATAGGATACTCGGCATGTGGCCAAGTTAAGCAAACTTGGTATTACTATTAATTTAAATATAATATATTATATCAAATGTTTAAAAGTTGCCCTGATTATAAATTATCAACAATATAATTTATTTTAGACTTTGTTCAAAGCGCATAATTTTTTCTTAAAATTAAAGCACGATTTGTGGGTTGTTTTAATCTTTTTAGCATTGGCATGGCATAAATTGAAAAGTCAAATATTTTTTAAAATTTAAAAATATTAATTATCCAATTTAATAATGGTAAAATGGTTAGTGGGAGAGTATGCACGCCGACCAAAAAAGAAGGATAAATTGGCTCACTGGGAAAAAAAAATATGTATTTAAAAAGAAGAAAAATTAGGGAGTGTAGTTTGCTTACAACCTTGTGTTGATATATAAATAATTTATTATTAATATGTAAAGGATTTATCATTAAAAATTTAAAAATTTATAAAAATTTATTATTAATATATAATGATATATTATTGATAGATATAATAAATTAATTATAATACAAAGCGTGATAAATATTAACTGTTTGTTTGATTTGATTTTATAATATGGAACTATATCACAAAAGTTTAAATAAGAAATACTATACGTTTTTTTTTTCTTTTAAATGGACATGGACTTTAGCCCAAAATAAAAAAACGGTGTCGTTGATGCTAAAGCGACTTCAGAACCATTTGGATTATTGGTTGGCTTGGCTCCCTGGTCTTGGCATTAACGTATTCAATTTTCCAAGATATTCCCCAGATTTCGTAGTAATCTCGACTCGCGGCCCTCATCACCATTCTACGTTTTGGTTTCGTGGAACCCGATTCAGGATTGGTTTAATTGAATAATGAATAATCCTCCTGAGCTTACTTCTACCAAGGATATTTTCGTTCCTTGATTTCCTTGTTCATGCTTTGATCCCTTTCTGGGTTATCCATTAAAAACCCTAATTCCTCGACTTCACGAACTTCTCTTTTTTCGGTATATTTATGCTCTCATGTTATTTAATCCTGATGAATGCCTTTATGTATGAAAATATGGTTATATTGGGCTTGAAGTATTATTTTCTGTTTTGATTGTTATCGGAAATTGCTAGTGTCTATTTATTTGAATTTTGTTTCCTTACGTATATAATTGATGAGCTATATATACAAGTTTTATTTAAATTTAATTTAATTTACTTGGTAGTTGTTTTCTTTGGGTATGCTCTATCTCTTGTATTTTCGACGAAGATTGTAGCTTGGAATTTCAAATCGCTGTTCTGTATCTTCTTGTTGATTGCTATCTTATATATGCAGTCTAGTCAATGACAGCCTCCCAGGGTAAAGTTACGTACTCTTCACTTTCGAATGTAGAAAAGGGGAACTCTGAATTCCACTATGATGGCAATAGTCATTATGCTGAGTCTACTTGGAAGGCGCCAAACTCTTGTACGAGTAGCTCAAAGTCTTCAAAGCAAGAGTTTCTGTACCAGTTTCCCTCTGAAAGTGAGGATTTGTATGACGGAGGTTATGAATCAAGTGAAGATCCATGTAGTATTGAACCCTCTAACATCCCTCCAGAGGTGAACTTGAAGAATGTGCTCGGTGGGATTGTTGCAATTTTGACTGGACGGAATAGAGGTCCAAGCATTAGTTCAAATCAGCAATTCTCAATTTCTAATGTCTCATTTCTTGGTTCTGGAAAGAATGGAGATGCTGTCCTACACTCTTCAGTCTACACACCAAGTGCACCGCCTCTTTTTGAGCCGGCTGGAATTAATTATAGTGCCTACAAAGAGGTGTTGGAGTCTGACCCCCCTGAGTGGCTTCCAGACAGTTCTGCTACCGTTTGTATGCAATGTACTGCACCATTTACTGCACTCACTCGTGGAAGACATCATTGCCGTTTTTGTGGGGGTATTTTTTGTCGAGCTTGTTCAAAGGGGCGGTGTTTGTTACCAGTTAAGTTTAGGGAAAGGAATCCGCAGAGGGTGTGCGATGCCTGCTATGATAGGCTTGATCCTTTACAGGGTGTTCTTGTCAACACCATTAGCAATGCCGTGCAGGTAGCAAAGCATGATGTGATGGACTGGACTTGTTCTAGAGGGTGGCTTAATCTCCCTATTGGTTTGTGTATGGAACATGATATATATAAAGCATCAAATACATTGAGAAGCTACTGTCAGGTTCGTTTTTTATATGAATTTATTTTGTATTGAGCTGGTAATTATGAGCAATTTTATAGTTGATGTTTTCGGTGATAATACTAATATTTTGGACTTTACCTTTCTGAATTGTTTTGTACCTGACATTTTTAAAAGGTTGTCTTTCCTTTTTATGTAAATTATTTTGTAATATTGAAATGTACAGGTGGCTAGATCTAATCCTGAGAGGTCTATTCCCTTAGCCATTCTCAGAGAAGCCAAGGGCTTAGCAATTTTAACAGTTGCCAAAGCTGGTGCGCTGGTCTCGTACAAACTTGGTACTGGTCTGGTTGTTGCTCGGAGATCAGATGGGTCGTGGTCTGCACCATCAGCCCTATTCTCCCTGGGTTTAGGATGGGGTGCTCAGGTGATGAAATGTTGCATGTTTAATAATTTGCTGGGTTACAGTTATTTCTTCACACCTCTGCCTATCATCACTCTGATTTAATGGAAGATGAAGGATGTAAGTAGAAAGATGGACGTGGAGCCATGGAATATGTTTAAGAGTTACTTGTTTCCCAATATGCTTGGACATTTAATATTATTTTGGAATTCTTGTTTGCATCTTTCTCTTGCATTGGTAGTAAGAATTTGTATCTCTATAAATCTGGGGAAATATCACCCTTTGAACAGGGAATCGATAGATTAATTTGATCACTCTGTCTCAGGTACAAGTGGGTCTTGATCTGGTGATGTCTTTATTCCTCACTGATGAATCTATGCTTATCCTGTGTATCCAGATTGGTGGAGAACTCATGGATTTTATAATTGTTCTTCATGATATGAAAGCTGTGAAGACATTCTGCAGTCGCATGCACTTTTCTCTTGGTGCTGGTTGTAGTGCTGCTGCAGGGCCTCTTGGAAGAGTGCTGGAAGCAGATATTCGAGCTGGTGACAGAGGTTCTGGAATGTGTTACACCTACAGTTGTAGTAAAGGTAGCTTATTGTGAAATTTTGTTGCACATGGATGGACCTCATATTGCATGAAAAACCAAGGGGATTTATCACAAGTGTTTCATTTAAATGCATGGGCATATTTGAACTGCTTTGTGATGTTAGTTTGTACTGTTGCTTTCAACTTGGTTAAATGATTTGAAAATTAATGTACCAGTCAGTCAAGGTTGTAATATAGTTACTGGGCTGGTGCCTATGACCCTATGTCACTACCTAGGTATGAAAGCTCCTATGAAACTTGAACTTTGGAGTGTGGAGTAATGTGGATTGTGCGTTTTCTTATAGCTTTATTGGGACATATAATGTTTATGGCTTAATTTCATTAGAAGTAGTGTTTGAATTTGCTAAACCTACAAATATATATATATATATATATATTTTGGGTGTGTTACAAATGATCCAGCATTTGCCTTGTTATTTCAGAATTCTGAAATATAACATGCTCTCCTTGTTTGTATGTATTATATTTTTCTCTTATTTTTCCTTGGGGGAGGAGGGTTTCGAAATGACTGTCCCCTTAGAGTCCAGCATAGTCTACTGTTTAATTTTCAAGATTACATAATGAGGATGTGTGAAATTGTGTTTCCAGAGCGTTTATTTTATCATTTTCTTTTTTTGGCAAAAGGGGGTTGTAGATCTGTTGTTAGATACCATTTATTACAATAGAAAAGTGAGAGCCGGCCCTCGTACAAGGGTGACGCTATTGAATTTACTTATGTAGTCTTGGTTTTAGAAACTGATGCAATTGAATCAACATCGTCCAGAAGATATTATTTCATCCCATTAATTTGGAAGAATGCGCCTTCATTTCTATATCATTTCCTTGTTCTCTGTGTATCATTTCTGTCTTTTTTGTTCTTTAGGTAGAGTGAAGTTTGAAAGTATGACCAATGTTTGCCACACTGTAGGTGCATTCGTGGGAGTGTCCTTGGAAGGTAATATTGTTGCCACCAGGATGGAAGCCAACCTGCGCTTTTATGGCGATCCTTATCTCACTACGACTGATATTCTACTTGGATTGGTGGCCAGACCAAAGGCAGCTGAACCATTGTACGCCTCTCTTCAAGAACTATATTCCAGTTTGATTCATTAGGTCCACTTCCAGTTGCATACGGCAGCAGTCATGCTGTCAACATGTGAAGGTGCATCGAAAATTTGTGGTTCTGTATATGCGTACGTCACATTTATGACTCCTGAAGTGTATAGTTTCATTTACTAATTTATTGTCGTTGGTATCTACTGTGCCAATCAGTCATACCGTGGGTCAAGGGACCCCTTTCCCTTTCCCACAATAAACCAAGATACGTATATCATAATTCAACCGCAAATAATGCTCCCCCCCCCCCCCTTGTTCCTTGTAAAAATTATGTGTTATCGGACTTGGATTTTTTTTTTTTAAATCGGAGTTGGATTGTACATAGTAAATGAGTCTGATAAGTTTTTTCGGTCCCTGCTTCTTGGGTTCTTTTTGAGCATGCAAGCAGGCTCAAATGGGCTTTGATGGAGAATTGATCCAAAAACTCTCCTTACATTCACGTCTATTATATTTTAGAATATATATATATATATATATAGATATACAATTCGTTATAAAAAAATAATATATATACAATAATTATGTTTTGAATTTGTTGCCGGTAAAGCTAAAGTTCATGCATAAATCTTGAGCGCTGTCACACCTGCGGGGCTAGCATCATAAAGTCATCCTCGTAAACATGCGTAAATAATGCCATGAGGAATCGGAATGGAAAACGAAGCTTGTTCGTTAGCTTTTTCATTACAGAGAAATTCTTCATTACAACGAGTGGAAAGCACAATTTTAATCCCATTATCTGTTGATTCGTGTGTGAAATAATTTAAGGAAGAATATCAATACAAGATCTATCAGAGAAAGACTTGAAACAAGTAAAGATTAACAAATGATAAGTGAAAGTTTAAATTTTAACAAGCATTCAATCCATTCAAATTCTTATTTAATATTAAATTATTTTATCGGCCTTTCCTTGATATTCTCCCACCATTGAATAAGATCAAATTGAGAATACCAAATCGATGTAATCTGAATTATTTATGTATCCTTTCACTTCTGATTAACACCTGTAATTTTCTAGTTGGTTAGGTTTCTAAATATCTTTTTGATTGTTACCCAGAGAGTAGGGAAATGTAACACACTAAATATCTACAATCTTCAATATATTATCCCCCCAAATTTTCGTACCAGTTGACATGAAACCAATGAAATTTCCATCAGAATATGATGAAATATTGAATTTTTTATTAGTTATACTCAGGGTCAGTCGTCAAGGCACATGTACAACATTTTAGACAGTAAATGACAAATATGGAATGAACATTAATTATACTCAGGGTTACAAGACAAGAATGATTAGTTCGAAATCCAGGCAAACTTGGCAAACCTTTGAGCCTTCGAAAATTGCAGCATGACAATGATGTCGAAAGAGAACTAAATCAATAACTTCACTAAATGAAGTATATCAACATTCTTTACATCTAAATAAGTAACTAAATCAATTCAGTTGAGGAAAAATACTCATGCTACAATCCTATTCAAGGCTTTCTTTCTCTACATACTAGTGATGCTCAAAAACTTTGGCTGCCCTGTCTGACCATAATATGCGCAATGGGTAAACGATAAAAAAATAATTACATTCGTGAAAACCCGCCTCATCAATTGAGTGTGTGTTTATGAGAGAGATAAGATTCTCGGAGAAGAGAAGCACTCTTGGCCCGTTAATATCCGTTTGAAGTTTTCTGGGATTTCTTTCTGAAATTTGAGATGCTGCAATGTGGGCAAACGTACTCTAGCCCATCAGTTTTAGCATAGTCCTGCCATTCAACATGCATACGTTAAAAATAACAAAGAAAGTTTTTACTACCTCGGTCTCGGTTTGTCTCATATGCTATATTTTGGAGCTATGTTTGAGAAATCATTACGAAACTAAAGAAAACAAGAATGCACAGCGACAGTAAAGTTCATAATGGGAAATGGAATTCGATTAGGTGGAGTTTGATACGTGGACACCCTGTTTTTCCAAGCAATTGCAAACTTCTATAAAATATTGATATAACTTTAAAAAACAGTATTCTCCGGGATATGCGTAGATTATAAGTTTTTTGTGCCTCTTGTGATCAAAATATCTCGTGAATAGGATTCCAAGTACTTGGAAAATTAAAGTTTTCATGTACCACACATCCCCTTCTTTACTTGCTCCTACTTCAATTTTTCAAACCCGGTTAATCCTTCTCTTAATTTGTTTCATTATCATTCAAGAGGAACAGCTACAGTTGCTGATATCCCTTCAGAAAACCGAAAACAAAAGCAAGAGTTTTGGGTAGAGGCTAAAACTATACTCTTCCTCAATGCGCTAATGTCAAATTACTAGTGATATGGAAAATATGAGGGTAAAAATCATGCTCTTCGAAGGGACTTAAACATGCAATTAATTTCACAAACTTAGCATTCACTTAAAAGTCAAATTCTAATGATACCTTAAATGCGCCAAGTCCTTGACGCCTATCACAGCCAAAGTGAGCCCACTCACCGCATATCCCACAATTCACCCAATCACCAGCTGCGCTACTGTTGCCCCAAATGAGAGGTAATTGATAGTCAATCAGATCAAATTTAGAGAACTCTGCAATTAAAACATTAATTTATTTTTCAATATCTAATAGTTAATAAGAGCAAGAAAGACCTGCGGCACAACAAGCAGCACTCTCCGTCTACGTCATCATGAGCCAGTTCATACTCTAGAAGATAAGTTTCATAATGTCTTTTAAGTGTATTGCCAACACCCTGAAAGCAAAAGGGAAATGATTAGCTTCCATGATTTCACTGTATGAAGGATCCAAGATGGTATTAAAAATACCAAGTAGTAGTAAGCAATGAAGATGCCATGCAAAATACAACCATAACAGGATATTGCTTTCCTCAATTTGTGCATAAAGCTCAGAGAAACTAAACGGAAGGATTTTCTTCCAAGTAATTGTCTTATTTTTCATTTCATGAAGATACATGCAATAACCAAAAGCCATTCTTAGACTACATATTGGGCTCAAAGGCACTGAAGCAACATAATTGCCTCATAACCGTTGGGTCTATGGATCATGCAATATAGCTTCCACTCTAGGAGATTATAGTTCAAAGAGCACATAAATTGTCTGATATACTATGTCAGCATTCACTGATCTACGGGGGAGTGTCTAATATAAATAATGGCATTTAATGGAGCTCCGCAAATAATGACACCTCACGAATTATTTGATTACCAAATAATTTACTGCTCAGAAGTCAGTCTTTTCTTCTTCCCATGGAAATTATAAATTAGCACTAAAGAAGAAGAAAGCAGCTTCCAGCCAAAGTTCCATATACAGTATTGCAGTTGCCAATTAAGATAAATATATGAATGCTTTACATAAAGAAAGAGATAACGGATACTATGTATGATTGCATTATTCACAAACAAAAGTGTAAAAACAATGGAAAATAAAGCATTGCTGTGTTTCCCCCAAGAGACTTGTACATTTGAGGAGGGGAGTTTCTTTAAAGTAAAATTCTAGGACAGTTTCTAGAAAGTGATCCACACAAGAATCTGAGAGAATATTCATTTTCATGTAATTTCTCACAAAGAACCAGAGATTAAAAAAAACAGCGAGAGAGAGATATGGTTTCATACTGTCATTCTATTAGTCAAAGTGTGATTTCGCATCTTTGAGAAAACTTGCCCTTTCCAATTGATGCCATTCCCAACATGAAACCCTCCTCTAGATACCACCTGAAATAATATGTAAGTTCGTTAAAAGCAGTTTCTTGGCTTCCATGGCCATGTAGTTTCAATGATTTACCTCTCTGTACAAGTTAAAAGATCTAGGCGTTTAGCATTCAGAATGGCTTCAGGGAATTCAGAAAGACCACCCTGTGGAATTAGCCGAGAATGCCCACGAAGGATAAGAAACTGCATTACATCCCTCAAGAATTCCTCCTGCCAGAAAGTGGATCACAGTTAGAAGGAAAATAGCTAACACCTACAATTCTTGACTAGGAACTAAATTGCATCAAGCAATGATATATCTCAGACTGGGTATTAGGATAACAATAAGAATAGCAAAAAAAAAAAAAAAAAAGAAGAAGAAGCAAAGGTTAAAAAATATGAAGCGGAAACTGAACAACTTACCTCTGAACAGGTCCGTATTGGAGCTCTGTCACAACCATGCTTCTTCATTGGTAGTGGATTTAATGTGACGATCTGCTGAGCCTGAAAGGAAGTTGACGAAGATTTCCTATTTGTGACTGGATTAGAGCCTATACCATTATGCTTTGTTGGAGCCATTGGCAGATTTGATTTTCCACGTTCTCCATCAAACCTCTCCCCCTCAGACAATCCAGAAAAAGGTTGAATCTTCTGACGATGTGATTGAGGGATTGGTCTCATTGCAGCAATGTTCAATTTCTGTCTATTGTTACCACTATAACTGTCTTGAAGGCTACAAGAATTGAAAGACTTTATTCCAAAGAAAGGCTCTGTTCTTTTTCGAGTAGGTGGTGGAGGTATCAGCCAACTAGGATGCCCAACAGAAATGGAGTCATTAAGGCAATTTTTTTCTGACTGCCTTGAACAAAAGTAAAGGAGACGTTCCGCATCAACTTTTTTAAATGATGCAACAGGCAATCCTTGAACACTGGCTACTCCCAGCATAACCAGGCTGCGGTACGACACTTCTGGTGCAAGCTGTCTCAGAACCTGAGAAAAAAATTCAAGAAGCTCTAGGTCAAAAGATAATATCCCATATCAAAACACACTCCATCAAGGATCATGTTAACATCAATATGCTAGCTGCGAGGATCAAACCAATTTAACGTACAGGTTCTTTTTCACCACATTGTGGTGATACAAAGTTACAAAAAGCAACATTATGATCTCTTAGAGATATAAAGAAGAATAATATTAACAGTAAAGAAAGACACAAAAGAGGAGGATAAGGTATCAAAGAACCAACATGATTAAATATTTTGTGTGTGTGTGTGTCATGTAAATATAATAAGAGGATGTTAGTTGGGTAGTTAGTAAACATTATAATAGGTAGTTAGGATTTTAGCAGGCTATATAAGGAGTCAAGGCTATTGCAATCAGACCACCTGGAATTATTGAATAAGAATTGAGTGTTGAATCTCGTCCTATCTTGCCCTCTGTCTATCTCTCATCCCCCCCCTCCCCAAAAAAAAAACCCTCTCTGTCTCTCTTTCCCTCCCTCCCAACTATAATTATCAGCGCGCGTGTGTGTAATACTATAAGAAACAGAAGAAGCCTTGAGAGACTGACCAGTGAAGCCCATGTAGGGACCTGCAAGCAAACTTCAAAATACACTAGCCCCAGAAGCTATCGAGGCTGACCTTCGAGGCTCGGAGGAAGGTAAGTTGCTTTGTTCACAATTAGGTGATGCCTGAACTAGTTGACTCTTCTCAATCAGCTCCTTTTTTATATAGTTCTCCAAAAGCTGATTAGAAAGGAGGAAAGAGATGTTCATGGGTGAGTAAAAATTCAAAATAACCCATATATGGAATATCAAATCCTAACAACATTGTTCACCCTTGCCTGATCATTAAAGCATGTATCTGCGCTACCAGACACCAAGAGTGATATATGAGCAGAACTACATGTGGATATATCACAACGCATGGTCACCACACCACGTGAGAATGTCCCTGCCTGGTGTGGTATAGCACTATATAACAACAAAAAGAGAAATTAACAAATAGAATAAACTACAAAGTAACAAAATATTGTAAAACTCCGATGAGTAAGTGTTCATGTGGATACAATTAACAGTTACCAATTATACGCCAGTCAACCGATAATCATCCACTCAATATTACAATACAAGAGGCATACGCATGCGATATATCAACTCAGAAAACCATGAAGTTACCTTGTCCGGTTGTGAAGTTTACATCCACGTATCTGTAGAAAAGCCATAAAGGGAAAGCAAAAAAATTAAAGTAACCAATTAAAGAAAATTCCAATACACTAAAATACACAGACAGTGACATAATGGCTACAATAGCAGATAGTAAAGTAAACAACTAACTTGCTGAAGCTATATACTTTTAAGTAGATCCGTTATGTAAAATGCCAATTATTTGGCAACATGTTTCACCACTGTCACTTGACAGTCATGTCGAATTCAATCATAAGAGTAGTATTGTCTCATTCAGGATCAAGAAGGGAGGTGAATCTAGTTCTAAATTGGTCCACGCATATCTTGAGTAATGAATAAAACACTAGATCTATGTTGATTACATAGAGTCAAAATGTTGGATGATGCAATGTGGACTTTACTATGTTCTTTAATAATGACAACATCACTCTACATTTGAGCTTATATTATCTTCAAAGCGGAATTTAATATGACGCATCTGGTTAAGGAAAAGCCCACAGAACCTTACCGGGATACAAACTAGAGCCTATCTCTTTTACATTTCCAACAGAAAATGGAGTGATCTAGAATACAGAGAGGAAGAAAATGATAACCGACCCAAACAAGAAAAACTTACTTCTGTACACAGGAGAGCATTGAGTCCGTCCTCCAATGATCCAATAAGCAAGTCTCCTTTTTTGCCGGGGGGTGGGAAGAGAATAAAAGGAAAACGGCAATAGTAAAAAAATGTGAAGATGTACTACTGCAAGCAAATTCATCAAAAGGAGAAAATTAATTTTGACCTACCAGCATGCAGGGAACTCCACACAGAAGAACTCTCATGTTGACTCATCATCATAAATCTTCAGTGCAGAAATAGTCTCAGGTGAGTTTTCTTCCCACTCATGTCTGCTTCAAAAGGAGTAATATCAATGTGAGGAGGGTCACCAAACATCTGCGGCTCACGCTTGCTTCTGCTCTTCATGCTGTTTGAAGGTGAGACATTGTTTTCTGTACAGTATAATCTGAAAGATGCAAGAGCAAGCTGGAAAGCATCCCATGTATGGCTGGAGGTACTGCAAAGCACAATATAAACTGTGAGGAACAACAATAAGACAAAGTCCTATTATCCTGTTTAATCAAGTACTTCCATCAAGCTTCAAGTAATATAAGAGATAAGATAAATAATTTGCACCCAATGGATGAAAGTTCCCACTTGCAGCACATGGACACAAATACTCAACTCAACTAAGAAAAATTTGTCCCATTACTTTTCTTATGTCATTGTTCATGGCTTGAAGACAAAATCAATCAGTTAAAGAAAAACTAAAAAAAAAAAAAATCTGTGGAGCCAATCATTCATCCCATCGCCAAGAAGGAATAAACAGAGGCACCAGCAGGAAAGAAAGTACATATTATGACAGCATAGTGGTAGATGACTACCTTTGTGCCACTGAGAAAAAGGCTTGACGAAAATGTGATGCAGCATACTTTGAAAATTCGCTTT